AAGTCCTTAAACAGGCCGGTCACGCCAGAACACCCTCTAAAGTTTCTTAATTAAAACAATTCTGTAGAGATGTCTGGACAAAAATACCCCAAAGTGAAGTCTGTTTGTGTTTTAGGAGACACACCCCTTAAATTGATTTGAGTCCTGTATATAAGTGTCTGTACAAATTCTAACTGAATACTTGAAATGATCAGACTTTTCTGATGTTGGAATGAAACTTCTCAGTTCCAGGTTAATCTGCAGTCAAGTTAATCTGCCCGGCGACAGCAGTCACATGGTCCAAACTAATCTAAGTGTATCTGAATAGCAGGAGTTAAATATTTCCTTTGATTGCTCTTAGTTTTTTCTTTTTGGGACGTTTAAACATGAATAAATGTGTGTGTGTGAGAGAGTGTAAGTGTGTGTGGTAATATCTGAGCTACGAACACTGTTCATCTAAAATACTTTACAGCTAATTCAAACGGACGTCAGTGATGAATGAACTCCATCTTTAGTGCAATTAGTTAACATGCTCAGAGCATCGAGTGCGGCGACCACGGCCTCGCTGCTTTTTCACACACATGCGCTTAATAATTGAAAGCTGAATGTCAGACTGAGGTCCAGTTTTCTGCACACGGAGAGATTTTCCACAACAGCTTGTGAATCTGTCGGGTTGTTTTGTTTTTGTTTGGAGGAGACGCTCCTCAGTTTGGCCTCTCTGAGCGGTTTATCTGTCAAAGTGAAGGAGGTGTTTGGCAGAGACGAGGTGCATGATGGGAACAGTCGCAGCCTAAACACCGCCGGTCGGAGCCAATCAGCTGCGCCCATTAACATCTCAGGAACAAAAAGTGTTAAACTGCACACAGATGTTCATCGTTACAGACTCAGACCAGAAACATGTCAGCAGGTCGATGTTTGAACACAACAAACTTTAAACTGACTGAACCCAGAGAACGTCCAAACTCCAGACTTCATCCTTAGGATGTCTCCATGGAAACACCTTCAGCTTCAGTTTACTGTAAACAGCTTGTAAAGGCAACATTTTTTGAATAATGTGAATGAAAGTTGCTGTTTCCACTGATGCAAATGGTAAAGTGCCCACAAGCTGCAGTTCCTCTAACATCCACCGGAGGCTCCAGCAGTGAGTCAGTCCCCATAAACCCCCATGTTAAAACTTTACAGCAGAAATAAACATGTTTACAGTTTATATAAAAACGTTTTTTGTCTCTATAGATAATTTACACCTTCATAACACGTCTACAGGTCAAGAATGTTTTTATAACTCACCTCTTTAAATTATATTAAGGCTTGAAGTTTGCATAATTAGGGGTGTGGTCTCTTTGACTGACAGCTGGATAGTGATACAGCTGACTGTAGCGGCTAGCTGTCTGCTAGGCTTCACCTCAAGTAACTGGAGTTAGAACTGGACCTCTGCACCGTGTTTGTTGGAGCATTTTTATGCAATTATCTGACCAATAATATGGCTGCTGTGAGGTTTCTGTACTAACTGACTGTCCAAATGTTCTGAGCTTCAGTTTTGGTGTGGGAAATTTTAGGATTTTATTTGCAGCACTAATTAGGTTCTAAACCTTTATTAATTTCCCTCCATTTTGAACCTGGTTTCCAATGGGAGGTACTCATGTGCAGATCATCATAATGATTTAGGATTTGGGATGATATAGGAGTGTTCAGTCTACACAACATAACTGAGCTGTAGGTCCCCAAAGTGCCCAGATAAGGCCAGACATGTTTGCTATCTGGGTTAAGTCTGTATTTCAGTCTGAAGGAAGGACGCTTGGATTCAGCCTCACACACAGCTTAACCTGCAGTGCAACAAGGCAACATGTTGGCCAACCAGGAGAGCAGTTTCCTCGGCAGCACCGTTGCTCTCAAATCAAAAGTTTCACTTTCTTCAGCACTTGACTCAAGACATTCTGATAACTCAAACTCACATTTTGGGCAACCTTTCTTTCTCAGGTTGCCCAATGAGTTGCCTTGTTGAACAATAAAAGGAGATTAAACCTCTGACAGTCGAGCCATTGGTCGGACTTCCTGCCTGAGGCGAAATTAATCATTGAACCTGGAACATGTTGAACAAAAGGAAGCAGGAAGACTTGTTGTCGTTGTTGATGTGGTCACATGATGCAGTTTTTTTTATTGCTGACTGAACTCAGCCGTCACATCTCCCACCGTCTTCTCAATGGAAACAACAATTTGATTTGTGGCCGTTTCAGAGACGGCGGTTTCGGCTCTGGACAGGAAGTGGGATCCGGGTGATTGTTTGTTGGAGCATCCGTCTCTGACGCCAGTAAACCATTTTGAGCCCCGACCACAAGGGGACTCGGCTGATTGTTACAGCCTACGAGGTGAGAGTCATGTGACTGATGGAGACAGTTTTCTATAGGCTATTTATAGGTCTGATATGCATCAAAGATTCTGTCCTGATATGTTTAGGCAATGCACAATACATATCTTGGTGTTTGAAATGACTGATTGATATTTTTTAAAAAGAGCGTGATTTCAAATGTATTGATTTATCAGTCAGGAAACCTTTTAAAATCATTTTCCACTGTTCACAGTCAATATGTTATCTGCAGTGGGTGGCAGAAGGCCACGCCCACAAGCAGATGCACAAACAAGAACCATGAGCTGCTATGTACACAAGATTTTCTCCACTTTACCCATATTAAACAGCTTTTCTTAAACAAGTAACTGAAGCTGTTACACTCCACCAGACCCCATTCATCAAAACAGTAATTTTACCTCAAAGAACACAGGAGTTACTCATCTACTGTTGCCACAATTGAATAGTTTGTAATATTGTGCTACTTTGGTGTTATAATGCATTAATTCGGACCTAAACTAATGCATTAAAAAGCAAAAGTCACACAAATAGGTCAATAACACTCATTTTCAGTGTTAAAAAAATCCCTGTTTTTGTCAAACAAGTCTGGTGGATTTAAAAAAGAGCCACTAACCCCGTCTTCTCCACAAGCTCTGTTGTCCTTCCTAGCTGCAGGAGAACTTCAGGCTTCAGCAAACTGAAGGTGCTGCATTAAGGAGTCACATGACTGGTCTCATGACCCACACCTTGCAGGTTGTAGCAGTAACTACGGTAGAAAAAACAAAAAACGCACACTCGTGGTGATCCATCCCACATAGAGTCTGACAGCCTCGGTATGACCTGGACAGATCTCGTCCACCAAATAAATGGAGTTTTATGGCTGCTGTTCCGCCTGTCCACAGGCCCCGTCCCTTTGATGACTTGGTTGACGAGCTGTTTTCCGCGATGCGCGGGTCGTCTCCAAAACAAACGTTAAGACAAAAAACGGAAAAGTGGCTGAAAACTGTTAGGAACTGAAGAGTGAGCGATGAGTTGGGGTGAGTTTTATAAAAAAGGACATCACTACGAAAAAATGCATCAGCCGGTTTAAAATCTGCAGCGCTTCAATATAAAGTGCTTCATTACATTGTTACTTTTTTACAGTTTCTTATTAAAATATTGTTTTCCCTGGAGTGAAACCATAGTAAACATGTTACACGTTGGTAAAAATAAACATTTGGAATGTCTCTTTTTAACAAGTCCCATTGGCTGATTTTGGTCAAGCTGAACTCGTCCCCGGAGCCTGAAACAGCAAAACGGTCATATGGTTAACACAAGTCATTACACATTACAGGCAGTCACACAGGGTATGGACGAGAGAGCAGAGCATAATGGGAGATGAAGGTGAGTCAGGTCCACATAGCTGGAGCAGGGTTTGCTTATTTCCTAGTTTTTCTCACTAAGTTACTCACTTAAAAGTTTTTAATATCCATCCATTCACTTCTGCTTCTCCTTTTCAGGGTCGCGGGGGGCGCTGGAGCCTATCCCAGCTGTCATAGGGCGAGAGGCGGGGTACACCCTGGACAGGTCGCCAGTCTGTCGCAGGGCTAACACACAGGGACAGACAACCATTCACACTCACATTCATTCACACATAGTGGCAATTTGGATTTTCCAATTAACCTATCCCCACAAGCTGCATGTCTTTGGACGGTGGGAGGAAGCCGGAGTACCCGGAGAGAACCCACGCAAACACGGGGAGAACATGCAAACTCCGCACAGAAAGTTTTTAATATTATTATCATTATTATCATCATCATTATTAGGGGTGTAACAATTCTTCAGTTGGTCCCTTATTTCCATGAGAGTTCCAATCTCTGGGCATCCTGTTTCATGGGGACGCTCATGGGGATGCTTAGAATAAATGGGGCCCTATGGACTTAGAGCTAAAAGGGGTAAATGTTGTGGTAAAACCCCTTTCCTCGAGTACTACAGCACCATTTACTATATCTTACATTCTGATATCTGGCTTCATACAAGCAGTAGTTTCCAGATAGCATCACCTTTAACCACCACTTTGTCTACAAACACTTGTAAGATCTATGCAGCTATTGCCACCAAAGGACGACCTCCTGGCATAAATTCTAAACTGAGCAACCATTAGCAAAACAATGATAGTTTTTAGGCAAAATTGGCTTCACTGTAAGACTAACTGAAGGAACTTAGTGTTATATTTGTAAAAGATTAGCCTAGAAGCTGCCAAATAACCTCCAACTGATCGAGACAGTCCATCCTTCCCTGAGCCTGGTTCTGTTGGCGGTCTCTTCCTGTTAAAAGGGAGTTCTTCCTCTCCATCATCTCCAAGTGCTGTTCATAAAAGTTTTGTCTGATTGTTGGACCTCTTTTTTAAAGTTGTAGGCTTTTGACGTTACGGTATTACAATGAACTGGTGTTATAACAGTTAAAATAGCCATTTTAGCTGTTTGGCTCCAGAGTGGAAAAGCTATCCTTAAACTACTCTGCAAAACTTTTAGAAGCGATTCAGGGTAAAGTGTATCCACCACAGCTATTTTTCCAGTGCTGTTACTACTGTGACAGAATACTGGGGATTTTTCACAAACTGAAACACAATCTGCACAAACCTACAAGAGCTGGAGTGGTCCTTTGCATCTCTCTGTTGTTGCTGCGCTTCTAGATTTGGTTGTTTTTTGTTTCTCTGCAGTTTTTCTTTGGTTGATTGTTGGGGGTCGCTGAAGGACAAACATACAGGATGTGACAACCACCTGGTTTCTGCTTTTTAATTCGTCTCACTCTACCAGGAGCAAACATCTGGTGGGGAAAATAATGAACCCTTTAGAATTCATTTCTGAGTCAGACCTAGCTCTTCCTAAGCTGCTCGAACTATGAGGGACATGAGTTCAAGTGATGAAATATCATTCTTTGAAACCAAATAGGAAGCTAGGACCCAGAAGAAAGCATCTTTCAAAAAACCACCTTTAGTTAACCTCAATCAGCTCCTGAAAAATAGATTGTTTTTAAATCTATGGTCCATAAACTGAACTCTGTAAACATTTTTGATTCATATTTTAAAAATTAACTAACCTGTCTTACGTCTGTTCCAATTTTATTGGTTATTCGATAATTCTGATCAGCAGGGAAGAGCAGAGTTTGCATCTCAGTTTACATAATTTTTCTCCAATCATAAGGTAGTATATCTAAAAATGTGATGACAGGACCAGAATCACAGAAGCATAAAGAGAGCCTGAGACTGAACCATGAACCTGAAGCTGCAGCTTACCATCTGCTGAGTCCTTCTTCTTGTTTAAAGCACCACAGTGAGAAAATAAGGCTGAACAGAAGTTCACTCAAACAGCAACAAAACATCAACACATTTATAAAAAAAAAATATTTCAAATATAAAAATTACAAAAGTAAAAAATAAATAGATTACAAACAAAAAGTCAGTAGGAGTTTAGTCTCTGAGGAAGCAGCCAGCATGATGATGATGATGGTGATGATGGCGGCGATGTAAATGGGTTTGGCTTGCATGCGTCAGTGGGCCATCCAGTCAGCATGCTTGAGTCACCACATGCATCAGTTAGCATGTATAGGTTAGCACACAGTGTTTACGGCAGCTGATTTAACATGCGAATGGGCAGAGGGGGCGGGGTTTGGTGTGTTCAGCAGGCTGACGAACAGGAAGAGAGTGGAGGTGGGCAGGTAGACACACAGGAAGAGGACGACGTCCTCGCTGAGACAGAGGACAAAGTCACTCTGCTCCATCAGCATCCAGTCCACCAGCACTCCCACCAACAGGTAGTACACCTGGAATTCCTGATGCTCCTCCCACTCCCCGTCACAACCCCAGTCTGGACCCACCGATGCCGCCTCCAACGAGTTCTTCTGCCTGACCACGCCCCCTCTGGTGTCATTGTCACTCACCATGGGCTTGATCTCCGCCCCTTCTGATGCCACTTCCTTCACCCGACTCCGCCCACGTTCCACAGCACGCTCCAACCGCCGGCTGCTCTCCACAAACTCCTGCAGGAACACAGAAAGGTGGACAAAGACCAAACACATTAAAACACTGCACCCCATTGATATTCAAGAAAGTCCTTTTATTAGGAATCATGATCAGAACTTTATTTTGAACATAATTATGTTTAACAATAAAGGAACTACACATCCCATGATGAATTGCAAACTGGAGATTCTACGACAAACAACTTCCCCTTCTTGAACTGACACCTGCAGGTCAATGTTCCCTCTAATTTTTCGTGTGTCTGAGCGAACACACAAACTCCCTGAGCGGTCCCTTGGACCACTGGGAGCAACATTAGACGTGTGCACTGTGGTCATGCCAGCATCAAATCCATCCAAGTTACATGGTTTATTAAAATAATCAAATTACAGCATTTACATTTATGTTAGACTACTTTTAATTAACTGCTTTAGCCCACTTACAATGAAAATTTTTAAAAATTCTTGTTCATGACCTGTGTAGTATGTTAACACTATTGAAAGTAGTCTAAGGAGCTTGTCTAAGGAGCGTCTGGACTTCTTTGAGTTGCTTCAAGACGTTTCACCTCTCATCCGAGAAGCTTCTTCAGTTCTAAGGTCAAATGGTGGAGAGTCCCAGATTTAAACCCAGTGGGAGTTTCCCCCCAAAGAGGGACAAAGGACCCCTGATGATCCTCTACCTAATCACATGAGCCAAGGTGTGAAAGCGGGTGTGGGTCACAATCAGCCAGGGTTTCGGGTGAGCTCATTGTGAAACCTGGCCCCACCCTATCATGTGATTTCCTGAGGTCAGATGGCCCAGGATGTGAGTGGGCGTTAAGGCGTCTGGGAAGGGATCTCAAAACTGGATTATAGATGGCAGACAGTTGGTGTCGTAAACCACCGCCTCTGTTCAAAGATGGTCGCTCACAGTGGACATAGATGGCTTCTTTCACTCCTCTTTCAAACCATCTGTCCTCTCTGTCCAAAATGTGAACATTGGCATCCTCGAAAGAGTGTCCTTTATCCTTAAGATGCAGATGGACTGCTGAGTCTTGTCCTGTGGAGGTGGCTCTTCTGTGTTGTGCCATGCGCTTGTGAAGTGGCTGTTTGGTCTCTCCAATGTAGAGGTCTGAGCATTCCTCGCTGCACTGTACAGCATACACCACGTTGTTAAGTTTGTGTTTTGGAGTTTTGTCTTTCGGGTGAACCAGTTTTTGTCTGTGTGTTGCTGGGTCTGAAGTACACTGGGATGTCGTGCTTGGAGAAAACCCTCCTGAGTTTCTCTGATACACCGGCTACATAGGGGATGACAATGTTGTTGCGTCTGTCCTTCTTATCCTCCTTCGCTGGTGTCTGATCTTCTTTTCTGTGCCTCTTTGCTGACTTGATAAACGCCCAATTAGGATAACCGCATGTTTTAAGTGCTTCCTTTACATGTGTGTGTTCCTTCTTTTTCCCTTCAGGCTTAGAGGGAACATGTTCTGCCCGGTGGTGTAGGGTCCTGATTACCCCAAGTTTGTGTTCCAGAGGGTGATGGGAGTCGAACAGGAGGTACTGGTCCGTGTGTGTGGGCTTCCGGTAAACTTCGATGTTGAGGTTGCCGTTCTCTTCAATGTGCACAGCGCAGTCCAGGAAAGGCAAACAGTCGTCCTTTGTGTCTTCCCTGGTGAACTTGATGTTTTTAATGTGCACAGTGAAGGATTCCACTTCTTGTGTCTTGATTTTGACCCAGGTGTCGTCTACATATCTGTACCAGTGGCTGGGTACTCTTCCTTTGAAAGAGCCAAGAGCCTTTCTTCCTCCATGTTTTTGTTTTTGTTTTTGCTCACAGGCTTTCGAGCGTTTTCCTTATAAAACGCCGTAAATATAAACAACGATAGTATTAAGGAAGAAAACCAAACATTGCATATATTTTTATCATAACTGGTTTTACCTGGTCTATCAACACAATTTAAAAACTGGTATAAAGTCCACACTTTTCTCGTCAATTGTTCCGTCTGTCCTGCTCACATCTCCACGTTGTCATTAACATGGCTTCACTCCACATCAGCCACGCTGCTTTGCTAGCTAAAACACCGGTGTCGGCACATAAGGACGCTGTCATAGCCTGTCAACGACGTTGATTAGCTGCGTATATACGAATGTGAATCGCATTATTGGCTGGACTATGGGATAAGGTGGCATCGTTCTAATCCCAGCAGTCAGTCACTTACTGACTAACACTGCAAAACAGAATTGTTAAAGTTTTAACACAACGCAGATTTTCTGTGCGCAGAGACTGTGCCAGCAGTGCGCAATTGCGCATGCGCGCAGCATAGAGGGAACATTGTTGCAGGTCATCATTACACTAACATATTTTCAGAGTTGAATGTTACCATATCAGTCCTTTTAGTAAATTCACCGAGCTCTGAGGGAGACAGACGAAAGATCTCACCATCAGAGCTTTGTCCATGAAGAACTCCTTCCCTGGAGTGCCGTCGTTGTACTTTGTATCAATGGCGAAGCAGAGGAAGAGGACGTCCACCACAATCTCAAAGATGGACAGGAAGCAGTGGGCCACCAGGAAGGAGAAAAGACACACGATGATGAGCGGCAGCAGCCACTCTGCGTAATCCCGCTGGTAGTTCAGGAGGAGGACTCCAGCGAACGCCGTCGTCGTCACAATCAGGATCTGAGGAGATATATTCAAATAAACTGATGACAGGTGGGAAAAGAAAAACTGAAATCCACTGTCCATATGCCGTGATGCTTCAAAGTTCACTAGCTACTTTTTTCCTACTAAAGACAAAAAGCAACAGAGCTCCCGAGAACACCTTAGACAGGTAACCTACAAGTCAACATCAGCTCCAGCTCTGCTGGGGTGTTTGTAAGCTAGAAATTTATCTGTCTGTGAGTGACAGGAGAATGGTGGACAAAAGCCAAGATGAAAGCCCCCCCTGCCACTAGATTTTACAGCTAAAAAACAAATACAAAGAAAAGGAAGGAAGATGAACATAATAGCACTGTTTCTGGATCTGGCTAGCTAATAGCTCCTTTCCCCACCTATACTGGCGTATACGTATAGTATAGAAAAAACATTTAGGCATGGCATCAAATCTCATTTCACAGGACCAGTAAAAGTGTTTAAAGTCAATGTTTTGGAAATTCTGAACTTAATCCCACAGAACTGTAAAAGGAAAATGGACTGGTTCTTATATAGTGCTTTTCTGCTGTAGCTGAGCACTCGAAGCTCTCTTACAGCAACATCCAGTTAGGTGATCACACTCAAAGTGAAGATCCTTCCTCCAAAGCAGCACAAACTGGCAGGAAAAATGAAAAATCAAGCTCCCGCCTCACCTTCCCCAGGAAGAGCACAAAGTCTCCAATGGCGTTTATTGTGGCGACTCGCAGCGCGTTTTCTACCAGGATCACGAAGGCATCACGTGCAGACGTGCAGAAACTGGTGCTGTTGATGGCTGTGGCTGCATATGCATTCTGGGAAATAAAACCAGACATGGTGAGATGATCATATCAATGAAGAGAAGAGAAGAGAAGAGGGTGGAGTATTACCTGATTGAGATAGTTGAGGCACTTCTCCAAACACCACAGACAACAGATACAAGTTTTCAGCATACAGCGAGCGCACGCATTCTCCTGATAAACAACAGATAATATCAGGTTATACATAAAATGTATTTATGTTTACATGTCACATACAACACACTGTACATGTAATCATTTTTAAAAAGGATGAACGAGTTGTTAATGCAACAGAAATGTTGTAGTGACGAGGAGACTTCTGTTTGAACACCAAAACATCATCAGCATACAGACGGATGCCCTTCGGTCTGTATTGTTACCAAACCTTTAAAGGACATCAAGTCATTCTTCTGATGTTTTTTTTCCAGATTGATCATAATTGGTGAAACTGTTCAATGAATCACTTCCGTGTAATCTTAGCAACAGTGTGTTCGCCACTGACAGGTTCACATTGTTCTTCTAAGTGACAGTGTCATGGTAAGGTTCCCTACTGAGAAAAAAAATCCATAAACCTATGCACATCTCAGGATTCATCAGGAGTTTCAAGAGGGCATACAGAAAAAGAGAAAATCTGCCTAAATGCTTTCTTTAACTAATTGTTACATAAAATCAATTTAATGGGATCTGGTGAAATAACATTTACTTGGTTGGTATATATTCAGTTTACACTAAGCACTGTCCTCTTTAAAAATTATTTATTTGAATAAATAAAACTTTGATTTTAGGTATTTTGTTTGCATCTTATTGCTTTATTACTTCATGTTTAGTAAAAGTGAAAACTAATTTTTTCAGGGTTGGATTTTCTTTAAAAGCTTCTGGCGTGTGGCAGCCTGTTACGGCAGCTCTGCTCATTTCTGAGCTTTTTTCTTATTTCCTCTTTCCTCTCTTCTTGTAACTTTCTAACTTAAGTCTTAGCAATTATATTCTGCCATCATGCACTACTGCTTTGCGCTAGTTATAGCATTTTATTCTATTTTTATATAGTATGTTATTCTTTTATCTTATTCTATTCCATTGTTTTTCTTAATTTTTGCTGCTGTAACTTTGCACTGTCCACTTTCTGCTGTGACACAAAAAATTTCCTAGATGTGGGACTAATAAAGGTTTATCTTATCTTAACAGTCTAGTAAATAAAGTTTTTGTACCTTTCCTTTGAGCTGATTATGGATGTACATGAGGATGAGTCGTGGGATCTTGACCAGTGTGATGATGAAGGATCCTTTCGCAACTGTGCCCAGGTGGTACCGGACCAGCCTCAGGACTGAGGACAGGATTGGAGTCACTGGGAGTCGGTTCTTGTCCCTGAAACACAAAGTCCTGGTTAAGAGTCTTTCCTGCCAGGAGACATTTAGAAGAACCTTTATGTTTCCTGAAACGAGGGGGTACACATGTGGAGAATCCACTCGGAAATCCAGAGTTTAAAAAGGCAGGCTAAAAAGATGCAGTATTATCCTATCATTGTATACCAGAGTGACTAGAAATACAGACAGTATGATTTTAATACCTTGAGAGAAAACAAGCATAATAATTTTTTTGTAATTTTGACTCTGTACACCTCCACAGTGTACTTTACTTCAAACAATTACGATATGACTGAAGCGCACTCTCTAGAAGTATCACGGCCAATGTCTACAATCAAGAGAAACCTTCAAAAATATTATCTTTTTGTAGCTTGTTGTAACCAAGCTGCAACCCACTGCTTACAACCAACAAGAGGACCAGATTAGCCAGCAGAACTACCTCCAGATCAACACTAGTAAAACCAAGGAGCTGGTGGTAGACGTCTGCAGGCACAAACATCCTCCACTGCAACCACTAAACATTCAAGGTATGGACATTGAGACTCTGGACAGCTACAGGTACCTTGGTGTTCATCTGAACAATAAACTGGACTGGACTCATAATTCAGACGCCCTCTACAGAAAAGGGCAGAGCAGGCTGTAGCTGCTGCGGAGACTTAGGTCGTTTGGAGTGAAGGGCCCACTACTGAAGCGCTTCTATGACTCTGGGTTGGCCTCAGCCATCTTTTATGGTGTGGTCTGCAGGGGTGGCAGCATCTCAGCTGGGGACAGGAAGAGACTGAACAGGAGGGCCAGCTCTGTTCTAGGATACCCTCTTGACAAGTGGAGGTGGTGAGTGACAGGAGAATGGTGGCTAAGCTGTCATCCCTGTTGGACAACATCTCCCATCACATGCAGGAGACTCTGAGAGCACTGAGCAGCTCCTTCAGTGGCTGCGGCACCCACGGTGTGGGCAGGTCTTTCCTCCCCACTGCTGTCAGACTGTACAACAAAGACTCCAACTGACCAAACACACACATCCACACATGTGCAAAAGCAATAATACTAAGTGCAATACTCTTTTCTGGCATCGTTGTATTATACTCAGTTGTATATAGCATTTGTATTCTATTTTATTCTATTATATATAGTATTTTATTTTATGCTATTCTATTGTGTACAGCTGTGTACAGTATCTTATTCTTATCTTATTCCAGTGTTTTTCTAATTTTTGCTATGTAACTTTGCACTGTCCACTTTGTAACAAAACAAATTTCCCACGTGTGGGACTAATAAAGGTCATCTTATCTTAGATTAGACTTTATGACAAAACAGCTAATGAGCCTGCACAGATAAATTTATACCAGAACGATTGCTAAAGAAAGGTATGGAGAAAGAGAGACACATGATCCTGCTGTCATTGTCCAAATACCTACAGACCAGCTGTTCATTTTCTTAAAAGTATCCAAGCTGATTTTATCCACTTTCCACCATGTTGCTTTACTACATCGATTACAGTCAGTGTCTCAGGCGAAAAGAAGCTGTCTTTTCTATTTAAATACCATCATATACCAAATTCTCCAGTGAAATATCAAGTATGAAAAAGGTATGTAAAGTGTAGTATGGACTCACCTTGTGAAATAGTACGTGACCACAGCACCGGCCACAGTCATCTGCTGACAGGCCAGGATGAACTCACTGATCCAGACCAGGCCCACAGCATGGTACCAGGTCAAGTACTGAAGAGGACCGGTCAGTCTGAACTCCGTCAGCCCCGTCTCCTCGTTCTGTACGGGGTTACCTGCACGACCACACAGAGCAAAGAGAGAAAGAATAATTTGATGACTAAAACTAAATGAAATCTGCTACTTTACATTCAACGTTCAACAGAAACATAAATCCACAGAGACAGTTTCGGGTACCGCGATTCGCCCAAATTGATTCAAGCACAATTTATAGGATAAACGATTTACGAATGAGTCACTACAACCAAAAGGTACAACAAGAACAGAGAGAAACTGGACATGTGAACATGTGTATGTGATTGGGGGGTGGGGGGTTCAACCAAATATGTACCAGCTGTTTGACTTATTAGCAAAACAAAGACGAATATCTAACAGCATTGTAGTTTAAACTGAAGACAGGAGGCCAAGGTAGCAGTAGCAGAGTTGAAGGTGTTAAGATGTTCACTGGGAGTAACCAGGAGAGATAGGATTAGAAATGAGCACATCAGAGGGACAGCTCCGTGTTTATGATGTCAGCTTTTCTCTTTGACTGCTGCAACTGACCGGTGGTTCCCAAGAAGAGAAGGACCAGGATCCAGTAGATCCAAAAGAGCAGGAGGGCAAAGAAGGTGACAAAGGGCTGCAGGGTGAGGAGGGGGAGGTGGATGAAGACTTTTCCTGCTACGTGGAACAGAGCGATGGTCAGAGCTACTCGTTTCCTCATGAAGAGCATCAGCAGCAGGAGGATGATCTGGAGACAAAACACACAGTCAGTCTCGGGTTTAAAACACCAATCGATCACACTTTCTATGCTCTGTTTGATGTCGAGTTTGATGTCGAGTACATACAGTGAATACAGTGGCAGCAACGGCATAGACAAGTAGTGCCTGTCCGCTATCTCTGGTGACCTCCACCTCCTCCTTCGCTTCCTTCAGTACTTTAGAGGAAGTGTCGTTCCCGTATAGCCGGTAGTCAATGTAGAGCCACCAGAGCACACTAGTCCCCGCTTAGACACAAAAAGCAGAGCCCTGAGTTCAGACACATTTCATCTGTTTACATCTTTTAATGCAACAAACAGACAGGCAGTGATCTCACCAAGGGATCCAAGGACAACCAGTGAGGTGAGGATCCAGACGAGGACAGCAGAGATGTAACGAATGATCACCATGAGGATCATGGAGAGGACTGAAAAAGACAGGCAAAAAAAAGTGATGTTAGAGCCTCAAGTGGCCATTAGAAGAACTGCAGTTTTTGGCACTTCCATATGAGAATTCGATTTTCGTCTTAGAGGTTGATGCTTGTTCTCACACAGTGCGAGGACACAAAGTCCGATGATGATCTCTTTACTGGCAGCGACGCCAGCGATCAGTCGGTGCAGAACACTGTTATCCCCGACAAACGTCACCACAGCCTCAGCAAACCTTGCGTAGCAGGAGATGTCCACCGGAGTGCAGCGATTAAACACGGGCAGCGGTTTACTGAGAATGGAAGACAGAGGTCAGAGGTCACAGAAAAAGCAAAAAAGCAAGCGACTTTGGGGTGAAAAGCTGCTACATACCTGGGTGGAACAGGTAGTTTGGGGCATTTAGTGGTCCTCTGTTCGAGAACAGGATATCTATGAGCTGCTAACTCATAGGAGCACAGCTCAGAACCTGAAAGAAAAAAAAACCACCATCATATTTTAAATAATAATAAAATAACTTCTAATACGGCCCTTTAGATGCAGAGAAGGTCTTTGACAAGGTTTAATGATCCTAGTTCTTTAAAGTCTCACTGGGATGGTCCTCTGCTACCGCTGCTGTTTACACTAGCAATTCCACTTTTGCAGTAACTGTACAATCATACCCACAAATCTATGGGTTAACAACAGGACACACTGACCATCAACTATCCCTATATGTTGATAATATAATTTTGTTTATGCCAACAGCATCAGATGATGTTTGCAGACAATATGTATGACCTAATGGAAGCACATCTGTTTCAGTAAATCAAACAGTTCCTGAAATAGGTTTTTACTGGCTTAACCATTTTAAAAACAATAAAACATAATAATAATCTTTATTTATAAACTGTTTTTCAGAACAAAGTCCTTCACAGGACAATTCAGATAAATGGTAAATGGACTGGTTCTTATATAGCGCTTTTCTACTCTCACTGAGCACTCAAAGCACTCAGTAAAATAAATTTTATAAAATACTGGCAGGTGCCAGCGCCTCAGCCTCCTGGCAGTTGAATCTTTAGGTGGCACAATCCCACTTTTACATTTTAACAAGGTTAAAAGTTGTTCTATGCTTATTGTATAATGTTGAAACAACATTAACATCTTTTAACATTTTTGCAATCAAATTGTGCCCTGGCCTGAACATCCAGAAGCGTGATTATCATTATGAAAATTCACTGAATGTAAACTGGGAAAAAGCTTTGAATGTCATTGTGTCAAAACACTGAAACACTGACACCATTTTAACTACATATTGCTTTCTGCATCATTGAGAAACCTGCAAAACAAAAATGCATGAATTGGATCAAGATTGTCAAATTGCAAAGTGTCAGAGATTGTCAGTTAAGTTATTAGTATGAGAAGCCTATATTATATTCTTCCTGTGTAAATACACCTATTGCATTCACAAGATTTTTAGTAAACATGACCTTTGACCTTAACCTTGAGGTCAAGGTCACCAATATTGATACTCATCCAAGATTTTTAGTAGATGCACTTATGGGATCAAGTCACTAAAAGTACAAAAAGGCACCACTGTTCAACTATAAGCTGTTCTGCTGTTCTGCTAAATTTGGGGTTTTTTGATATTCAAAATATTGGTATTCTAGTCCTAAAGTTATAGAATCAGTATAATCTTAACATGCAGACTTTCATGGTTTTCACATCCAAGCTGATGGTCGGGGTGAGCGCTGGGTTTTTCCACAGTGCCGGCGTTTCCAACTCTGAGCGTATCCGCCGCATCACCGCTGACAGGCTGCACCTGAGTGTAATCTGGGCTGCTGGCTTCTTGAAATCAGTGCTCATATTCACTCTCCACCAGATCGTCTGCTAAGCCTCGTTAGTCAAGCCGCCACAGTGACAGTATCTTGCCATAGTTATTCTTGTATTGACCTTGTACCTTCTGCTCACAGAAAACCTCTGGATGTTGCTGAAACTCACTGTCACTGGTCAGCACACAGCTTCTCCACTTACATTCACCTGCCTGCCTTCCTGTCCAGCCCTCTGACATTAACGGATTTACTCATCGGAGTACCTCTACACCCCATCCGCACCAACCCCTCTATGCTTCGCCTCCGCCTGTGAAAAGTAAGACTGTTTGCAATTTGCAACCTACGCCTTGGATCCACATCTGGCATCCCTTCTAACACTTGTTTCCCTTGTTTCAGTGACTCTGAGAATTACGCCACACCCTTTCCCTCTGTCCCACACCCCATGGGTCCTGCACTGGATGTTACCCAGTGTTGGGTCCCCAGCCCTCGTCCGCAACAGCCCCAAGGCTCCCTCACGGACCATGTCACAGTTCACGTAGTGATTTACTAACCACTCATTTCAGTGTTTTTGTAATCGTGTGACTTTTATAGTGTTGTTTCTTTGCTTCATAGTATACTTCACGTGATTATAGTACAGTTCAGGGAACTAGTACATTATAGTATTACTCCTGTTCATAATGTGTCAAAGAATTATTTGAGTAGTAGCTTCCTAGTTTGCTTTGTCACTTGCCCTAAGTTTATGGTATACTTGCTATCGCTCCTTGCATTTCTGTACACTTTGTGCCTCAGTTCACGTCTGTAATAAAAGTCTATTTTGCTCACAGTCCCTGACTCCCAAGTGCGGTCTGCATTCAAGTCCATTTCCTCGTGTTGGCCCTCTGGCCTTGACATCTGGAGGAAAAGTTTAGGAATTATAGGTCTGTACTACATAGACAACTTCCAGGGGCCAAATGTAACCTGTGGTACACAGTTTCATTAATTCATCATAAATTAAACAGCTAAAAGGTTGATAGATGAGTCCAGGTCCATCTGCAATTGGCAGCTGCTTGTGTGAACCCACAGCATGCAGCCAGTTGAACTTCCCTAAACACAATACAAATCCTTCACTGTTCCCACGACCTGTGACACTAGGCAAGGATAGATCGATAGTTTGGTACATTCAGAAGAAAACTCGAACACAATGTTGGGCCCAGCAGCACTAAAAGGTCTGCACGTCCACAGAAGACAACAGTGGAGGATGATCATAGGATCCTTTCCATGGTCAAGAAAAAAAGAACACTTTCCAGGAGGTAAACATATTGTTGCTCAAGTTTACCATAAAGACACAACTTCAGAGAGAAACTCCAGTGGGTTCAGCACAAGCTGCAAAACCTATAGCTCTGAAACAGCAGACAGACAAAACTAAAATAAACATGTAGAGTAATGATGGAGGGAAAATGGGTGGAGAAGGCATTGAACAGCTCAGGATCTGAAGCAAACCACATCCATACAGTGTGCAGTCCAGACAGTGTGATGCATGGACCAGTTTAGCTTCCAGTGACACTAGGCCACTGCTGGTTACTGATGGACTCTGAAGTGTACATGGATATACTATACTGATATACTCTACTATTTTTAAACCAGTTAGTTACTTGGGCTTTATTTATTGGTGCAACATAGACATATTGCAGAAAATTGCACATATTTGTATCAAAAAGGTATCACTACCTCTGCTCTTCACAGTGATCATGCTTGCTGCCATACATAATCACCACCCAAAGGCACCATTCTTATGAGGGAAGAACTCGAACAAAAGAAACATGCAAAGCTCAGATGACTGCAGTCATTAAAATGTCTTGTGTGCAAATCCTTTAAAAAACCCATGGGAACGCGTGGCTGAAGAGGGGAAAAAACACCATCCAGTGCAAACAGCTCCAAAAGAAACTAGTCCCCAATATTAGTCATTTGACTAATATGCCCAGTTTGTATCATTCCTGACTGTGAACTTGATTTGATTTTTATTTTGAAGGTTTAATCTGAAACACAGATATGAATATTTCCGCTTGTATGAACAAACTGAGTGAGCGTGCTGGAGCTGGGCCTCTGTGACAGGCTGCTCAGGTGTAGCAGATAAACTAGTTCCTCTGTGTGAATCTGTGACAGTGGATCCTTTATAAACGACTGCCGGAGGAGCTGTGAGGTCACCTGACCGAGGGTCTGCCGTCATGTTTCAACACGTTTGTGTCTCAAGTGAACAGTGAAGGCTCTGAGTCACAGAGCAGCCATGATGGAGGAGAAGCAGAGCAGAGTGGCACCAATTACACGACACGCATTAATGCTGCCTTTGTTACTGTACTGTAAGTTCAGTATACTGTTGGTGTGTCCGGTCTGCAGACATTCAATCATCACGGTGACGCGATGGCGCGCGGTCGGCCAAGTGCTGACATCACTGCTTCCTTTAAAACCAGCAACATGTTCGTACTTCGGTCTTTGTGAGAACATCGAGTCACACAGTGCACCCTCCAATCCCCTGCCACTTCCAGCACTCCACCTGCTTTTCGCCTCCAACGCATCACCCACCCTTCATATTTAACACCTGCTTTCAGATTCAGCACATTGTATGTTTTCACCTTCAGCAGATCACCCGTTACATCTTTAACACTTTGCATGCTGGAAAATGATTATTAAAAAAAAAAAAATCATTAGAGAGAACGCCTTTGTCAGAAGTGTAAAGCTTGCACATGCATGCGGCAGAATGTGTGCAAAGCAAAAAATAACACAAGAAAACATGATGCAGCTGAACTGGTCCAGTTTAGAAGGTTGGTTTCAAATCCAATCCAGGACAAGGAGCAATGCAAGTGCAGGCAGGAGGAAGTGTTTCACTGGGCCCAGCTCTCACAGCTAATTACTCTCCAAATCAGACAAGACCACAAAACCAAAACAGGGACATCTAGTGCCTAAGCGTCGTCACAACTTCAAGACATCACTTGCTTTCACCTCCAGCTGTTTACCTACTTCTATCTTTAATGGTTCACCTGCTTTAAGCTTCAATACTTCATCGGCTTTCCTGTTTAACACTTTGCATATTTCTTTCAAACTTAATTATATTATTTAACCTCAACATATCATCTGCTAGCCATACAAGGGTATGGGGGGGGGGGGTTGTATAAGGTGTTCTCTACTTTTTGTTTTGCTCTTTTTTCTCCCACATACTGTATTATCCTAATTGTTTCTTGTAATCACGAATATTGTTATTACTTTATGTGTTGGGTTTTCAGATGTTTGAAATTACCCTTGAATGGCATGGATACAAGAATATACACTTAAGTGTGTTCCTATAGTCACAATAACTTACCGTACTGTAACGAGTTGCAGATATTTACTATGTGCCATAAATGTTCTGTAACAGCTTTTGTTTTGTTTTTTATTGAAAAATGAAAATAAATCCTATTAAAAAAACATCACCTGCTATCACCTCAAACACATCAGCTTCTTTGCACTTTAATTCCTTCTATTTTTATTGCTTCCATTATCTTCATATTTATTAAGTTACCTGCTTTTATTTTTTTATATTCTGCACGCTTGATCTCAGCACAATCGTCACCTTTCAGTTTTCACCTCCAACACATCACCCTGGCCAGCTTCACCTGTTTTCATCTTTGACATATAATCTGTTTATACCTCAAAAACTTTACCTGCTTTAAATGTTTGACATTGCTGAACAAATAAAGACACAGATTCAAATACATTTCCCATCAACACCCTCTCCTGCCTCTAAAGCCTAGAACAAAGCCTCTTTGTCCCTCAGCTCAGACATGTAAAAATATATCTGGATATCCAGACACCTATTCAAGTGTGCAAGGAGTCGTGTGACATTTATGCCCTCACCATTGACCATAGCGAACCTCTTCAGGTCCTGGTAGGTCTTCAGCTCCTCTGTGGGACACAGAGACACACAAAGAGCCATCGACTTGATTTTCCTTTGAACAATGTCGATGTTACAGGGATCCAGGAAGAAAACAAACCTGTAAGCGACAGAAAGTACAGGAAGTCAGCACATCGACATTTATAATAGAAAAAATGACTCTATATATATATATATATAAAAAACGCAGGTAAATGCCTCCAAAGACCTTAAAATCTAAAAAAGAGTGACACCAAATAGGTCAGCATTGGATTGGCATTTAAACCATTTAACAAATGGTGCTTCTAAAACCAGAAAAATCTCCATCTTCTAATAAATATGAAGACATGAAGCCAGTAACTTTATCAAAATTTAATTTCAGGAATTGCTGATAAAGAACACAATGCATTTTTAAAAGAAAAGCACATTTTTCCATATTTTAGAAGAGTACCAAATATTACAAATAAAGCAAAAAATCTTCTGATAAAGTCCTTTAAGTGTCTTTAAGTGCAGGTAAGGCCTTCAGTAGGGTTGAATGGACCTACTTATTCAGTGCGTTTTAAAGTATCAGTTTTAAAGGATCACATTCAAATAAATATCAACTGCAGAAATGTTTAAGAACAGGAATATTTTACATCTAATTTCTATTAAAAGAGGCGTGTCGAGACTGCAATAGAATGCAATCACATTAAGGAAATATACTTTAAAAACTGGATAAACAGAGTGTAAGTTATAATTTTATACTCATGATCCATTTTATTATTAATCAACCTCATTATTATAGAAAACCCAGCAGAAGCACTACATCAGCTGCCTGCTCTTCAGTCCATCGTGTATCAGTTCTGCTACTATCTGACTGTTTCACGTACTGTAGACTTGAACTGACTGCTGAATTTTGGCAGTGCTGCCCAGTCTGCCCAGTTTGATAATCCCGACTTGAGTCATGAACAGAAGTGTTTGAGTAAAAATAGAAGCTGAGTCTGAGCAGAGGAGGATTAAAGCTGAGCAGAATGCAGGAATGTAAATGTGGGAGAAACGTGTGACTCAACAACGAATGGAAACAAAGAGCCACAAAGAGTCTGCAGAGACTCAAACCCTCGCCGTTCCTCTCCTACAGGCGCAGGAATCTGTGATCCTGTGATCCCGCTCACTTCACCTGAAATCACCTCGCTCTCTGTTCAGCCTCGTGTTCCCGTGGGTTTATATCAGCTGAAAGACTACATCTGATCCCACATCAGTCAGAATGTCTCAGAGATCAAACAGTCTGACACAGTAAAGAGCTGACAGATGCCTAACAAAGATCTGTACCGTGTGTAAAAGTAGGTCTGACATCGCCTCCAAACTCCAACAGCTGCTCGCCCTCCAGCAGGTGGAGCTCTGCGTGTGTGTGTGTGTGTGTGTGAGATGAGTCACAGCTCTCAGCTAGTGTCAGCATAATCAATGGTGAACTCTCCCACAGGAACTCAAACGCATCGAGTATTAAAGTGCCAGGATGAGCTGCCACAATGTTCTAAAAATACCCAAGTACTACTTCAGTAATACTGCAAATTAACAAAGACAGACTGTACAGGACAGACGTGCAACACAACCAGAATACAAACAAAAATACTAAAGAATTACAGTGAAATTAAATTATTTACATATATCACCACCAGGAGCACAAAATAAATGAAACAAAAACTGCAAAAAGACCCTGATAACTTAAAAAAAAACCCAAAAATATTTATGCAATAAAATCCTAATTATTAGACACAAAACACAGCACTGTGTAATAAAATATCAACACAATAATCGAAACTGCTACGCACTGAAAGAGCTTTATAAACTGTAAAGATGAACACCTTAATACAACCTATAAACCAAGACAAGCCAAACTACAGAATTCCTGTAGTCACGAGTTTTTCCGACAGAAAAATTCATACACAAAATCTCCCCTCTGATAACCTGTTTTTAAACATTGCTTTGTTAAGAGTATATATTTACTCAAATATCACATTTTTGTTTCTCAAATAGTCAGAAGTAACTTCAAAATGCACAGATTCCTGTCAAACAGTAACAAACTCAACACTTTAACTGTACGAAGAACAGTAAAAACCTCAGTACTTACTTCCTGTCCGTGTGGTCGAGGCCACTCAGCCTGACGCCTTCAATCTGTTCATTTCGTTGGCCGCAAGTGTTGCCATAGCTGTCATATCCGAAGACGAGGCGAGCGGCGCCGCCGGTGACGATGGTGAACCCGCAGATGCTGCCCTGGAGGATAGAAAGAGAGTCAGCGAGTGCAACACACCTTAAGCAACAGGCGCGTTTCTTGCTGTCTATATTCACTGAATCTCATCCCTCAGTGCACTGTATCCCATCTACTGCTGTCACATTCTCCAGTTACACGTTAATTTATCTTCAGTCAATAATCTAATCTGATCAACTGCATACATTTGAATCTGGGCCTTCAGCTTTTGCATGGTTGGGAAAATCTGTTGTGTTTTATCTGTACTGATACTCGCACCAGACTATGAATATATATGGAAACTTTCATGACTCTCGTCTCAGCAGCACATAAAATGACCAAACTCAGGATGAGTTCCAGTAAAAACCCCGTCAGGACATCACTGTGAAAAATCTAAGACCACATGACATCTAAAAAGTTTAAATCCTCAGAAATCAGGGCTGAATAGCAGATGTTCTGACCTGAACAGGCTCAGATTCACTGTTTATTCTCTACTCATCATAAAATTTTCATGCATCTATTCCTGTCCTCGCTTCAGTTGTAAAATCAAACGACTCTTGACCAGTCAGAGCTCTGCCTGAGGCTCTAAAAGCCAATCAGCTGCCTGCTCTGCTCCTGCTGCTACTTCCTGTTACCACAAGAATCTTAATCCAGATGTGCACATTCATTCAGTCCCCCCAAAAAATTATATAAAGGGGCAGAAATATATAGTTTAATAACATGCTTCAGTGTGGTCCACATAGAGCCACACAATTAACCATCAAGTTATAGTTTGGAAAAGAATTCATTCTGATTGTATTTTTTCAGGTACCTCACAACTTTCACAAGCCTGAGTCTAACAGCTATGGTTAGAATGAGGCATTTAATAAAACCAAACATGTCGTGGTGCCGAGTCAAAAAATAATACACCTAAATAATCAGAGAGTTTGCCCGCATCATACAGCCTGGCCTTCTGCCTTCAGACGTGCCGCAAATAAAAATGAGTTTTATCACTGCTGTGCTGTAGTTACAGGTCTCTTCAAACTGCTGCTTGCCTCAATAAGTCTGGCAGGAGATGTTGTTGATGTTCTAACAGCGTTTACGCTTGAGTTGTTGAACCCACCAGGGCCAGCGAATGAACATCTTTCCACTTCACCTTGAAAAGTAAAGCAATCTGTGCTCTCTTTTCTTCACTTCTGAGTTTTTTTCTCAGAAATTTAAGATGTAAGAGAACCCAAAAGTTATGTAATTACTAAGCTGAAAAGGAAGAAAAACTACTTAACCATGTTTATTAAAGGGCAAAGACTCAGCGGCATTTCAGCAGTAATCCATCATCAGCGATTACTGTGTTACAATGGCTAACTATATATAAAATATAAAAAAACTGAAGACTTATTAAGTCAAAATCTACAATAAGGGGTTAAAATGTAAAATGAATGCAGTCACTGTGGCACAAGCTGGTAAAGATTTTCTGTATCTGTGCTTCTGGCAGCAGAAAAGTATTCAGCTGCATGTCCAGTAAGTAATTTTCCTCATAAATCAACTCAAACAGAAACGCTGTTAGAACATCAACAACACCAAACATATTACAGAGGCAGGCAGCAGTTTGAAGGGGCTTCTAACTACAGTGCAAACAGTTTCTTCAAGTCGATTCTTAACAAGACAAAGCTGTAAAAGCAAGTTTCACCGACTTTACTTTTCATACATGTTTTTTTCTCTCAAAGTGTTCACACTTCTCCCACGTCTTGCTTATACCGTCATGCGCTCTCACGCTGCTCAGCCAAATCCCAATTACAGAGAAGCCTCAGAGTCCGTTCTTTATGAAAAACATTAGACTAAAACAGGCTTGTTCCACATTTTAGCACCAACTCTCAACCATAAACATCAGAAAATGCTAAATTCACTCGCGTGATTTTCTGGGTCAACGCTTATCAGTCAGTAAGATGCAGATTCATAATAATTTGTATTTTTATTTCATTTAAAATCTTTGGTTTAGTGTCAGTGAATAAAATATGCTCATTTAAGTTTAAAAAACAAAATAAAACATAGTTTCATTTTTAGCCATCAGCCACTTTACTGGTTACATCTGTTCAGACTGCTTCAGACTCAAATAGCCACTCATTAGAGTTTTTCCTTCCCACTGTCGCCAAAGTGCTTGCTCATAGTGGGTCATATGATTGTTGCGTTTTTCTCTGTATCTATTTTTCTAGGATCTACTTTACAATATAAAGCGCCTTGAGGCAACTGTTGTTGTGATTTGGCGCTATATAAATAAAATTGAATTGTCCTTACTACTCGGTATGACCGTTGCTATGTTACTTTTACTTTTATTATTAATTAATTTGACTTCAGCCACAGAAAGCCTTAATAAAAACCACTCGATCGTCTCTCGAGAAGGAAGGACAAGCATTGTATTTCACCGTTTATGAGCTATATATCCATTATTGTTTATGTTCTTCCAGTCTTTGTAATGAAGTGATGATTTTAACCTTATTTTTTTATATGACCTGCTTCAAAGAACACGTTAAGAATACGTTGGGCAAAATATCCAAGGTGAATTTAATAAGTAACAATATCATTTCATTTTTTTAATTAAGTCTAGTTTTTATTTCAGTAACTAAAATTTATTCCGCTTGTAACTCAGAAAATATTCATAAACGAAGCAAGTAACTTTTAAATAATGGCTAATATGGGATCAAGATTGCTAACAGTGAAAATACTTTTATTGCAGTTATCGTTAGAGATTTTGAACATAATCCTTCATAAACTGATAAAATTATTTTGTGAGCAACACAGACAGAAGAGTTATGCTCATAATCACAAGTGGGCTACCCAAAAATCTACTATAATTTGTGCTTTTATTTTACTTAGCAGCTAGTGCTGGTGGACATTATTAGCATAGTATGACTGTTTTATGAGGTATCACTACTGTAGTATCACTGTAGCATTGGTGGTATAATTGCTGTAATACAGGAGGGTGCTATTGCTACAGTATCACTGTAGTACAGGAAGTGTTATTACTGTGGTACTACTATATTATTGTGAGGTAATATAAATGCACTATTACTATTGTTTGGAACTCTTATTGCTATAATATCACTGTAATGTTGAGGGTATTGTTACTGTATTATTACTGTAGTACTGGGGTACCATTACTGTAATTGCTGTAATTAACTGCAATTACCGGAGTATCACTGTAGTTTTGTGTGCTATTATTACTGTATTGATACTGTATATCCGAGGGTATCATCACTGTAATACTGGGATGTTACTGTAGTATCACTGTAGTACTAAGAACAATATTTCTACAATAATATTGTAGTTCTGAGGTTATCATTACTGTAATAATAGGATATTAATACCTTATTGTCATTGTACTATTAGTTGGTATTAATACTCTAAAATTACTGTAGTTATGAGAACATCTTTACTGTAATATTTACTTTGTTATCATTGTAGTAGTATTAGGCATATCATTAATGTAATATTACTATAGTTCAGAGGTATAATACCCAGGGTATTACAGTAATAGTACTGTAGTGTCGTGTGTCAACATTACTGTATGTACTCCTGAGGTAATATCACTGGAATACCAGGTTACTATCGCCATATTATCATCGTAGTATTGTGTCTTTTATTACTGTAGCATTACTGTAGTACTGTGAGTGATGTGGGTGCTGATGGAGGGTTTCTGTGGTTACCATGCCGACGCAGAAGACGGTGAAGAGCAGAAACCAGGGCAGGTCTGTGCAGCTCCGGTCCTCCAGCGGTCTCCATTCTCTCTTTGTCCTCTGAAAGACACACACGCACGCACGCGCACACACACACACACGGTGAGAGCACAGCAGGGCCTTCAGGAACTCCATCCCTCCCTCTATCCCACCTGCCCCGGCCTGCTAACTCGGCTCCATCCCCCAGCTCCGTGTCTGTTTACGGCCGCAGAGAGCGGAGCGGGGCCGCTCACAGGCCGCGGTTACCCGCCTGTTCCCGGCTGGAGCTAATTGGATTAAACGAGCTACTGGCTCTAATCCTAGCTCGGCCCGCTCTGGTCCCCGGGACCGGTTTCCCTTTCACGGTCACAAAATAAACACACACCGGCGCTCTGCTGAAGGACACGCTTAGAAGAACGAGCACGGTACCGGACCGAGCCGAACCGGACCGAACCGAACCAGGCCGCGCTTACCTCCGTGCTACCGCAGCATCCCATTGCAGTCAGGGTGGAGGTGCCCGGAGCTTCACGGAGCTTCACAGAGCTTCAGCTCAGCAGCAGCGGGGTCTGGAGCCCGACAGGCGGGGGGGTGGGGGGCGAGGAGGAGACGACCAGCCCCGCGTGATCCCGGAGGCCGAACCCGGAGCGGAGACGGTCCCGACGGTCAGACAGAACGCTCCGACCCACTGAGCATTCTACTTGTCGGAGGCTACTCCGGGTACCTAACCGAGCGGGGATTAACGGCCGAGGATTTGTCCGCCACACTTCCTGGTGGGCCGTCAGGTGCTGCGGCCATTCATCTCATTGCGCTTGCGCTTGTGCCCGCGCCGTGAGCGGAGCAGAACAACAAAGCCGTTTTTGACCTGCAGCTGCAGTACCCGCTTTGACCACTAAATCCATTCTAAAAGCAAGATGCCGCTGTTTGCCCTGTAGAGCTAATCTACACTAGAAAGTAACACAAAACACTCTAAACAGTCACATCTTTTAAGTAATCATCAACAGTTTTCTCAAACAGAGTGAAATACCCCAAAGTTATGCAACAATCTATGGAATAAATAAAGAATTAAACCTCAGTTTCTCCCCCAAAATCCCGCAATTATACATTTCTGCAAACGAGATTGATATCTGCTACTGAAGGTGCTCAGATTTCCATTGGGAGTAAACAGGATGCAGGATTAAAAATGAGCTCAGTCAGAAACGTGAGGCTGAGATGATTTGCACATGTGCAGAGGAGGGAGAGTGAATGTACTGGACAAATGATGATGAAGGTGGAGCTGGCTGGCAGGAGGAAAAAGAAAGACGTTAGAGGAGGTTCATGGATATAGTGAAGGAGGACATACAGAGGGTTGTTGTGGAGATGGAGGCAAATGATCATCTGTGGCAACCAAAATAAGAGGAGCTGAAGATTAATTTTCAGTAAACTTCCTCACTTACAAATACTGTTTATCCTTTTGATGTTTTCACTGTCGGGATGATAAGTTTGACCTGTGCTGCAGAAGAAGCTGCTCTGGTGTTGTCAGCTCCCCTGCATGTATGTATTTATGTACTTTCATTTCCCTCCTCTTCCTCAGTGTGCATTTGCTGTTGATGCTGAAGAAAGCCACTGTGTCTGTCACTGTAAACCTGCTGATTTTGATAAAGCTTTTAAAGAAAGCAGTTTGACCTCTGACCTCCACCGACAGACTGCCACGCAGAGCTCCTGCAACATTTAAAGAAGTGACATCTTTGTTTCACGTCCATGCGAACACTCAATGCACTGTTGACATTCTCCACCAGTCACCACATACACAACACACCATCCTACAGCAACATGCGCTTTCTTCCACATGCTGGACACATCACTGTCATAGCTAAGAAAGAAAAAAGGCTGGCGTTTGAACTTTGCATCACTACGTTCATATACCTCCAAGAGACTATGTTGGCTCATTTATGAAGCCATGCAGCTGCTGCGGTATTTTCAATTATAGAAATGTTTCCTACCATGAATTAGTCATAATTCTACTTTAACAACTTTTCATAGCTATTAATAGAAACTGTTCCATTGGTGTGGAAAGGAAAGGAAAGGGAAACAGAAAGTTGAGTGGAAATATTTTTAGCACTATACAGATTTTGTTCTGATTTTTGACTTCTAATGGCCACACTCTGATATTTCGAAGAGACAGATCTAGAAGAAGACTCGAAGATATCCTGAAGTACGTGCAGTTTGACAATCGAGCAGCCAGAGCAGATGGTGAACAAACCTTTCAGGAATATTTGAACAATGTTTGTAGCTGGGCCTGTCTCCCTGGTTCTGATCTCTGTGAGGATGAACAGTTGGTAGCTTTCAGAGCCAGGTGCAGTTTCAGGCATACCGTCCCTTCTGAGAAAACTATGATGGCAGAACTGCGGGTTTGTTTGGGGTTTTCTTTTTCATAAAATGACTGAAAATCATAATACATGATGTCAAAATATTTTAGAGTATCGGTCATAGATTAAGAAAGGATGGAACTGTTATAAATACAGACAGAGCCATGTTGTTTAACTTGTCTAACTTAACCTAATTTAATGTTTGTATTTTATTTGTTTGTTTTAATCACTATTGTGTACATAAATTTTGCACATCATACTATGCACCTGTGGCACTTTTACTGTAACTATATTGTTTATTTATTGCAGGCTGTACTATTTGTATTCTGCACTAACACAATCATTTCCCTTATTCTCATTTGCTATTAACTGCTTTCACCTGTGCTGTGTCCTGCAACCTTGTCTTCCTTTGTGCTCCTGTATTCCTCAAGTTAATTTTTTTGCTCCTTGTGCCCGTTGTGGATGCTGGTTTCTTTCTGGTTTTTGTTTACCTTTTGTTCAAACAGCCAAATAAATGACTCACTTTTGGTCTGATTGTGTCCTGCATTTGAATTCTTCACCCACCACATTCTCACACTAGATATTAGATTTCTGAGAAAGGACTTCTTCAAGTTTGTGTCACTTCTACAACCACAGCTAAACTGTAGATTCAACTTTCATCATGTCAAGCTTGAGTGTTTGAACTTTTATCTGAGAGCTGACCTGCTACTGCTGGTATAAATTTAAAGGAGGATTTTCCTTCAGTTGAAATCTGATCTGAATGTTTAAAGAAATTCTCAGTTTGAGGCATTCATTAAACCATCTGTTAACGTGGGCGTGCCTTCAGCTGTGATCACCTTTTTTAGCATTTTTATAGGCTGTCATGGCATCCCGCCCAAAGACTAAAAACGAAAGTTTATTTCGTACTCTCTCTGATTGCCATGAAGTAAGGGATTTGGTCTTCATGACAGCAGCTTCTGCAGGAGGCCGTGTGCCCCTCCTTAAACTGTTTTAGTGCTGATGTGACTGTAAGTGTGAGACAGTGAGGATGCTGATTTTCATTCAGTGTTACACTGATTTTGCAAAGTTTCCTTCACTTTTGTATTTGTCTTTAAAGCTGCACTCACTCTGCTAACTTCCTGTAGCCCCTCATAGGCTGAAATAAGTCAATTTCCGCACTTTGTGTTTAAATGCAGTTGTTTTCTTTTGCTGCATTTTACTCATACATTTGCTGCAGTGAAAGCTTCCCTACCTCCTCAGGTCATCCCTCAACAACAAATTGTTTCTGATGATTAAAATCAGGGGTTAAAGTGCTTTTTTTAAAAAAAAACTTGCTTTGTATTGTTGAGCCATGAAGCTCTCTGCTTTCATGTTGTTAAGTTTAATTCTCCACAAAGGACGGTGAATATTGGAGTAGCAGCAGGGTTAGCAAATCACAGCCTGTACACAAAGCTCATGAAACAAAGTGTAAGGGTTCCCTCACCTTCCAAATCGCACTTTAACTCCTCAATAAAGGTACTGCAGTCAGTTTAGAAACTCCTGTATTCATTGTCCAGTCAGTGCTTTGTTATCATACTGTTGTTGTATTTTTTGTAGTACTTTGGAGGTAAGTTTACTTTTTTCTCCCACTAATTTTCCTGTAAATAATAATCAGATTCTCGCTGAGTCATTGAGTGAAACCAAACCCACTTTTTTATTGTTTTGTTCATTTTTGCGTTGCTTTTTTTTTTGAGTGTGTGTGTTCATGTAAAATAATCACGTTTGCTGTGTGAAGAGCAGCAGATCTTTTACCTTTTGCCTGAGCCGAACCTGTTGCTGAGAGCTTGAGGAGAGGCGCTTGGGGTCCATATTCCTGTGGGAGTCCTGGAGGGTCCCGGAGGGTTCCGCAGAGTCCTGGTGCTGCTGTCAGACTGAGGACGGCAGTGATGTAGGTCTGATCAGGCTGCAGAGGACAGAGAGCTTTTGTCTTATTGTTTACTGTTGTACCAGGCTGAACACTGGGGGGGGTGTGGGCATGTGTTTTCCTGCGTTCTTCTTGTTATGGGAGATTAAACTTTTCACCCGGTCACATTTCGGGCACGTAAAGCAGTTGAACCTCATATACATACATAAATCATGAAGTTTTATTAAGATTCATTAAAGTCTCAAATTAACGCACACAGTCATGTTTCCATTCCTTCAGAGGGCGTCATGACTGTGTGTGTTCATTTAAAGAGTTCACAGACAGCAATGTTCAGCAGAAATATTTAACTTCTCTCAAAATCACATTTGAATCAGGAAGGAAGCAATCGTGACCAAACAAATCTGTCAGGAAGAGGCAAAAATCCAAAGACGGGCAGAAACACGAGGAAGGAAACAAACAAGACCAAAGAAATTTCTGGAAGGCTTAACTGGTGAGAACAAGAAAACACTGCAAAGGACCAAAGACACACAGAGGAGTTTATATACTGGAGAGTTCTTAACAGATTGCGAGCAGGTCATGGTGATGGAGCTGGGGCAATAAAGGTTTGCTCCCTTTCTTAGTCTGCCTCCCTTAACACTAAGATGGCAGGAATACAGAAGAACCAAAGATTACAAAATAAATTACGAATTAGTTTGAAACAAAGCAACTCTTGCAAAGATGACATACTTGTGTAAAATGTTCACAAAGAAACACTATAAATATTCAACTCTGTGCAATTTTTGGTCTCTGATTTCAAAACGAAAAAAAGACTGTGTTATTGGAAATGGAAAAAGTAGACAATGTAAAACTTTTATTAGAGATGGAGTTTCCTTCGTTATCTTTTCTAAAACAAACAGACTGACATAATGAGGTGCCCTTTGACTTCTTGGGTCTGTTTGGAGGATTTGAGTTGTGTCGAGTTGATTGATCTTTTTACACCAACCAAAGCTCCTGTGAAGTTAGACACGGGTTCATCCATAATGTTTCCAATGTGCTAGCTGCCGGTGTCCAGTCCGACTCTGATGGAGACACAGCAGTGTTCAGATGTTTGTTTGGGGCTTTTATAGGCTGTAAATTCATCAGTCCACTTCAGCCACTTCTGTGTTTAATGCATTTATCAAGGGAAAGGAGGAATAACATGGTCTGACAAGGTGAAACAACCTTAGTCACAAATCCAAGCAGAATAAAAGAGCTGCTAATAGGCCATGTTTGCATTTCATTTACATTTATTCTGGTTTTACTTTCAAAATCAAACAAAGAAAGAAAATAACAATAAATAAAGAAAAGGGAAAAAACTCCATTAGTTAATACATATTGAATCATATAGAATCAGGGAGGGGGACCCAGGGTTGGCCCGGGACAAGCTGGAGAGATTATATCTCTCAGCTGGCCCTGGACAAGCTGGAGGAGATGGACGGGGAGAGGGAAGTCTGGGCTTCTCTGCTTAGGCTGCTGCCCCGCGACCTGGCCCCCGAGTGGAAGAAGATGGATGGATGGAGGGATGGATATCACGAGACAGGGATCATGATGAGCTTTTTGCCACTTGCTTGAGAACACTTGGGTATTGCCTCAGAGAGAATGGCTGATCTTATTAAACCACAGAGACACTGAGCGTTGTACCTTTGTAAAGTTTCAGCAGATTGAAATTCTGGATTTGAAAAATTATGCTTTCTTTTCATTTTTAAGCACTAAAAATGTTATTACAGCTGTTGGGAAACGAATATCCAAGAGTGGTATGAGGAAGACTTTTTGTTTGCAAGTGATTTATTGTTTTGTTGTTTTTATTTCAGACTTTCACACTTTATTGGTAAATGTAATTCAGAATACAAAAAAACAAAAAATAAAAAAGTAATCATTTGATTGCTGTTTGAGTTCCATGAGGTCCATGAGCATGTCCATGAGGCATGCTTAACAGTCTGGAATTAAGTCTTCACAGGCTGCAGCTTTATTAAACAAGAATTTGTATAAAATTTCTTGAGTAGGGAAATAATAATAGTTCTTGGTATTGGCTAGACTTGATATTTATCCATAAGATTAGCACTGTTATTAAATGCTGTTGTTATCGTGCTTATTTGAAGAGTTTCAGTTGGGTTTCAAAGCTCATCACAGTACAGAAACAGTACAGTGTTTAAAAGTAGAATGGGAGGGAGAACCTTCGGTTTTCAGGCCCCTCTTCTATGGAACCAGCTTCCGGTTTGGATTCAGGAAACAGACACTACTTTCAAGATTAGGCTTCAAATTTTCCTTTTTGCTAAAGCATATAGTTAGTACTGGGTCAGGTGACCCTGAATCCTCACTTAGTTATGCTGCAATAGGTGTAGACTGCTGATGGATTCCCATGATCCACTGAGTGTTTCTTCTTCACTCATATGTGTTTATACACCTCTCTGCATTTAATCATTACTTATTATTAATCTCTGGCTCTCTTCCACAGCATCCTCCCTTCACCTCTACCAGTCGGGGAGCAGATGGCCGCCCTTCCCTGAGATTGGTTCTGCTTGAGGCTTTTTCCTATTGAAAGGGAGTTTTTCCTTCCCACTTTCACCAAAGTGCTTGCTTATATGGGGACATGATTGTTGTGTTTTTCTCTGTTGTCTTTGTATTACTATAGGGTCTTTACCTTAAAATAGAAAGCACATTGAGGCAACTGCTGTTGTGATTTGGTACTGTATAAATAAATTTTTACTGAATTGAACAGAAGTTTATTAACAGGATCATCCAACATGTTCAACAAAGAAACCTTGCGTATTTATAACTGATGTGATGGGTGCAGTTTCACTCTGGTGCAGCAGAGGGCAGTGTGACACAGCAGATGCTTCATCATCGTCGGGAAAAACGCAACAAGACAACAAATTTAAACTTTCCAAGCTTTTACTTTATTTCACAGTTATAGACAACCAGGTTATTACAGGCTTTTTGAAATCTTATGTCAGCTAAAATCTATTAAAAGTGTGCTTTAATGTCTGCTAAAGTTCAAACAAACATCTTTTAATGCTTCCTGGGGGCAGCAGCTGGAAGTAAACTCTCACAGCTGGTTGTCATTTGTGCAGCTGTGCTGTCATGGTGATAAGTACCCTTTTGTAATTACCCACAAAATAGCTCAGGTACAGCAGTGGTCTTCTGTGGCCCAGACTTGAATTCAGGTCATTTATTTCTGTTGCACACTTAGAAACAATCAGGAGTTTACTCAAGGTGCTTTCCAGACAACAAGTATACAGAAAAATATGCAGAATACACAGTGACAACACAGAATGGGTGGTGCAGGAAAAATCATGAAAATCTCATAAAAGGGATGTCAAATAGAGCAGCTTAGAGGAAAATACATTTAAAAAATATTATTGAATGGATAAAAGCTAAGCAAAAATGAGAACACAAAAATATCTGTATGAATGTCTTTATATTAGTTCAGTTATTTAACTGAACATATAGGTGAACACAATCAGGGAATAACTTTAAAATAAAAAAGGAAATAGCCAAACAATAGAACATAACTACTAATACCTGAGATGAAAGACACCAGGAAACAGAAGGGACCAAGGTATAAACACAGAAACAAAGGAGGTACTGAAAGAAACACAAATGTACATACAATTTTCACAGGACTCTACTCTTTCCAGTGAAAACTTTCTTTTTCACATGAGTGTATCCTAATAACATGTAGTTAAGCACCCAAAACAGAACTCAGCGGGAATGTGGAAAACAACACTAGAGGCTAACTTCAAGCAAATAGCAAAAATCACCATTAACTGCGGAATCTACCAAGGAGATGTCCTGTGCCCACTGCTCTTCTACATAGGCCAGAACCCCTCAATGAGATTATTGAAAAGACTGGCTATGGATACCAGATGTCACGGTCTGTGTGGCAGACCGTGGGGATGAGAGGAATGAGGACCCAAGATGCAGGACTTAATGATGAAGGTAGTGTGTTTGTTTACAGTGGTGCAAATAGTTCACAGAATAGATCCCCGTGTTTTCCCCTTGACTTCCGTGTCGTGTCTTCACCCACAAGTCCGTGCTCTTCCGCTCCTGTGTGTCCCCACACCCCGTGCTCGCTGCTCTTGTCTTCCCTGCTCCTTCCTGGAGAAAATAACAAAGAGGCAACTTGTCAGGACACTCGACTACCGCAGGCATGCACTCGCTGAACTTGACATTTATCGACACTAACGTGGAGTCTCACACAACAATCCCATGCCGAGGAGCGCTCAGCCACAGCCTTAAGAAGCTCTCCAATGACACTTCATTAGCTTCAGGGTTTGTGATCATCTGCTTCAGGTGTGGCCATCCTCTAGACAGGATACGCCCACCAGGCCTACCTGAAACCCAGTACTCAGCCACATTCACAGACACACCCACTTGCCTATACATACAAGGATGGGGAATCACAAGAACAGCAGCAGTGCAGACAACACACACATCACAAAATAACAGCAATAATTATAACAGTAGTCCACGCGGCTCACGGACCCCGAGTCCCCGGAGCTTGAGTCCGTGACACCAGATACAGATGGAATTCAGCATCAGCCACCTCCTCTACATGGATGACACCAAGCTGTATGCGAGGAGTGAACGAGACCTCAATTCGCTAATCCACACCACAAGGATATACAGCAATGAGACTGGAATGTCATTCGGACTGAAGAAGTGTAGTCGGATGGTAACCAATAGAGTTAAGGTAGTCAGACCTGAGGGCATCGCACTACCAGAAGGCAGTATCAGCAATATCAGGGACAGCTACAAGCACCTTGGAATCCCACAAGCAAATGGAAACCATGAATAGGCAAGGAAAGCTGCAACCACAAAATAC